CCTATTCTAAAGTGAAGTCTTGTTCATAACCATTAAGCTAGTAGTTTGACTCTAATTAGGTATTTCTATCTAAAATATGTTCCCTATTCTAAAGTGAAGTCTTGTTCATAACCAATAAGCTAGTAGTTTGACTCTAATTGGGCATTTCTATCTAAAATATGTTCCCTATTCTAAAGTGAAGTCTTGTTCATAACCATTAAGCTAGTAGTTTGACTCTAATTAGGTATTTCTATCTAAAATATGTTCCCTATTCTAAAGTGAAGTCTTGTTCATAACCAATAAGCTAGTAGTTTGACTCTAATTAGGCATTTCTATCTAAAATATGTTCCCTATTCTAAAGTGAAGTCTTGTTCATAACCAATAAGCTAGTAGTTTGACTCTAATTAGGCATTTCTATCTAAAATATGTTCCCTATTCTAAAGTGAAGTCTTGTTCATAACCAATAAGCTATTAGTTTGACTCTAATTGACCTGAACAGGTTCCCTATTCTAAAGTTGCCTCCTCTTCACACTTTGTAAATACATAGCACACAACTACTGAAATGAACCTCAACAGTACATGAACAAAGTAGGCACACGTTGAAATATCTGTTTTTATTAATGAACCACTAAAGAGAGGTTCAGACACATACATGTACCAAAACATGTCAAGTTTCTCCAAGGCTGAGAACATATATGCAGCCTGTGCTTTTTAATAAAAACTTATTTTTAACAGAGTTTATGTATTTGTGATCATACTGTGTGACCTGCTTGTATGTTCTTACACAATAGGTGTACTGTTCTCTCTCTGTGTTGTCTCAGTGTGAACATAGATTAAACAGCCAGCCAAACTCTTTTGAGAGCCAGGGAATGAGCAGCCATGCTCCTTTATTGACTTATTTGCAGTCCACTGACATTCAAACGGAGTGAAACTATAAAAAAAGAAGTTACAAGGCACTTAATGATCTCATACATGCAAGTGTAACATACACAAATGAACACATTAGGACCGCTTAGTGTAAACAAGGTAAACATAGCTAATGCTAGCTGTACAATAAGCATGTATACAGGCTAGTATGGCTAACGCTAGCATGTATGCTAACGCTACCGTGTATGCTAACGCTAGCGCGAATGCTAACGCATTTTCTCATTGAGTTTAAACATCTCCACATGTCATCACATAAACACAATACATGTTACTAATCCTTACAGTGTAAGTGTAAGGCTCACACTTACACTTACAGTCATTGCTTTCTGACGGACTTGACCCTTTTACTCTTCAGGTTGCAAAGGGAAAATTAGTGGCAGTGTAGTTCACGTTCTCCTACTTCCTGTACCCGGGTCTAACCTTCAGTACACATTTTACAAAAATATAAATGTGCAAATATGAAACATACAGGTCAATATCACCTTGCTATTGGTAGCTGAACTGTCAATACCCCAAAACATATTATAAGATATAAATACCTAATTTTGAGTTATTTAGACACAATTAACACTTATAGTTTCATGTCTTGTTCCATAAGAATAGATTATATTTGTTAAGTGTTATTATGGGAGAATTACTATTCTTGTGCTACTACTGCCTTATTACACCCATATTAAGCAGCGCATATTAAGACCAAAACTCATGGACAACAACTTCCTTACTTGCAATAAATAAGCACTAATTAGAGGGTTATTGAGGAAAAACTCTCAACTAATGGCTTATTACTTGTAGAATATGGTCATGTAGAATACGGCATTAATAAGTGTTGTATAATGACTAATAAAGAGCCATTATACTGCTAATATGCATGCTAATTAACAACTAGTTGATGGTTAATTTGTGTACCTTAATATAAAGTGTTACCAAATATTTAAATTAAAATATTATATTTACAATGTAATGATCAATAATATAGATCAAACTGTGTAAAAAAAGCACTGAAGGAAGAAATGAAAATGACAAATGGCACTATATTCCTCGTTTTTATTTCTGCATAAAAGCAATCTAGAAAGGGGGTGCATTGACATATAAAGATTCAGTGTGTGCGTGTGTGTGTGTGTGTGTGTGTGTGTGTGAGTGTGTGTGTGTGCGTGAGTGTGTGTGTGTGTGTGTTTGTTAATGTCCCTTGGGGGGACATCAGTGGACTGTGTATATTTTCCAACCTCTGGACTCCTTCTTGCTTGAGTGGTTGCTCTCTCTTTAACACACACACGCACACACACACACACACACACACACACACACACACACACACACACACCCTCAGAGTAAATGTAAGTCACTGGTCTTCAGGGAGCAGGTTTGTCCGTATCTGCTGTCTGCATTATTTCTTTGTGCTCCAGCAAACAGATGTTTTCTGTTAATTACCGTAAGAAACTAAACAAAGCTTTTTGAACATTTAAGCATGGAGACATGACCCAGTAGAGACACTACATACTGATATACACACCTGAATATCAGCAGGAGAGGACTCTTTAAAGTAGAGACACTACATACTGATATATTACATTACATTGCATTTAGCTGACGCTTTTATCCAAAGCGACTTACAATAAGTGCGTTCGACCAACAAAACACAAGCTTGAAGAAAACAGAATCATAAAGTACATCAGGCTTCATAGAGCCAAACATTTCAAGTGCTACTCAACTGGCTTTAGATAAGCCAGTCCTTTATTAGTATAAAAGTGCTTTGTTAATAGTTCTATCGCTCGAAGTGGAGTCGAAAGAGATGAGTTTTCAGTCTGCGCTGGAAGGTGTGCAAGCTATCTGCTGTCCTGATGTCAATGGGGAGCTCATTCCACCATTTTGGAGCCAGGACAGCAAACCCACGTGTTTTTGCTGATGGGAACTTGGGTCCCCTTCGCAGCGAGGGCGCAGCGAGTCGTTTGGCTGATGCAGAGCGTAGTGCACGCGCTGGGGTGTACGGTTTAACCATGTCCTGGATGTAGGAAGGGCCAGATCCATTCGCAGCATGGTAAGCAAGTACCAGTGTCTTGAAGTGGATTCTAGCAGTTACCGGAAGCCAGTGAAGGGAGCGGAGGAGCGGAGTAGTGTGGGAACATTTAGGAAGGTTGAAGACCAGACGAGCCGCTGCATTCTGGATGAGCTGCAGAGGTCGGATGGCACATGCAGGTAGACCAGCCAGGAGAGAGTTGCAGTAGTCTAGGCGTGAGATGACGAGAGCCTGGACCAGAACCTGAGTCGCTTTCTGAGTCAGCTGGGGACGTATCTTCCTGATGTTGTAAAGCGTGTATCTGCAGCAACGGGTTGTAGCAGCGATGTTTGCAGTGAAGGACAGGTTGTTATCTAGGGTCACACCCAGATTCCTTGCAGTCTGAGTCGAGGAAACAATAGAGGTGCCGATATTGATTGTTAGGTCAAGAGTGGGACAATCTTTTCCCGGGAGGAAGAGCAGCTCAGTCTTGTCAAGGTTGAGCTTGAGGTGGTGAGCAGACATCCACTGAGAGATGTCAGCTAGACAAGCAGAGATGCGTGCGACGACCTGGGTCTCTGAGCGGGGAAAGGACAGAATTAATTGGGTGTCGTCAGCGTAGCAGTGGTAAGAAAAACCATGCGGGCTAATGACTGATCCGAGCGAGTTTGTGTACAGGGAGAAGAGGAGGGGACCAAGAACAGAGCCCTGAGGGACCCCTGTAGTTAATTGACAAGGGTCGGACTCAGACCCTCTCCAAGTCACCCTGTAGGTACGGTCTTTGAGGTATGAGGTGAGGAGGGAAAGTGCAGAGCCAGAAACTCCAAGTTCTTGGAGAGTGCGAAGGAGGATCTGATGATTCACCGTGTCGAATGCGGCAGACAGGTCCAATAGGATGATGACAGAGGAGAGGGATGCTGCTTTGGCAGTGTGCAGTTCCTCAGTGACAGCAATGAGAGCAGTTTCTGTGGAGTGACCTGCCTTGAAACCAGACTGGTGCGGATCCAGAAGGTTGATATATACCTGAACATCAGCAGGAGAGGACTCTTTAAAATAGAGACACTACATACTGATATACACCTGAACATCAGCAGGAGAGGACTCTTTAAAGTAGAGACACTACATACTGATATACACCTGAACATCAGCAGGAGAGGACTCTTTAAAGTAGAGACACTACATACTGATATACACCTGAACATCAGCAGGAGAGGACTCTTTAAAGTAGATACACTACATACTGATATAAACCTGAACATCAGCAGGAGAGGACTCTTTAAAGTAGAGACACTACATACTGATATACACCTGAACATCAGCAGGAGAGGACTCTTTAAAGTAGAGACACTACATACTGATATACACCTGAACATCAGCAGGAGAGGACTCTTTAAAGTAGATACACTACATACTGATATAAACCTGAACATCAGCAGGAGAGGACTCTTTAAAGTAGATACACTACATACTGATATAAACCTGAACATCAGCAGGAGAGGACTCTTTAAAGTAGATACACTACATACTGATATAAACCTGAACATCAGCAGGAGAGGACTCTTTAAAGTAGATACACTACATACTGATATATACCTGAACATCAGCAGGAGAGGACTCTTTAAAGTAGAGACACAAGGAGCTAACTGTACGTGTGATGTTGCAGCAAACCTCAGATACTGTAGTTCCCGACACCTTGTTGTACTTTAATTGTGAACACAAGAGGAAGCAGGTATTTTCTCTGCCTTGTTTTTCTCGCTGCACATCAGAGAAGCCTCCCATTTTCCTCCAACAACAGGAACATCTTGAGCTCTGCTTCACTTGTGTCGCTCTGATTCTCCTCTTCTTACCGGCGGCTGGCAGAGGATGCTCATTATCTCCCTATCTCTGTTGTTGTGCCGGCCAATTATCCTCTTGTGCCAACCCTTCCTATAATGAGCAAGTGTCCTTAAGCAGGACAAACATGAGAAGTTGAATTCAAAGTCTGACCAATGAAACTGTTTGGTGTGTTTAGTTAATGCAAGACGTCCTCTGGATATCTGCACAAACAGCGCTGTGAGGAAATGCCGTTGTTGTTGTTGTTGTTGTTATTGTTGTTGTGTAAATGAGGAAGCAGCTTCAGAAGAAGTGTTTGGTTTTGATCTGTGTTTACCGTATTCAGCGTTTCCCCCTGAACGGATGTAAAGTGGTAATCAGAGGGATAATGGGTTGTTATTTGTGTGTGTGTGTGTGTGTGTGTGTGTGTGCGTGTGTGTGTGTGCGTGCGTGCGTGCGTGCGTGTGTGTGTGGGTGTTTGTGTGTGTGGGTGTTTGTGTGTGTGTGTGTGTGTGGGTGTTTGTGTGTGTGTGTGTGCGTGCGTGCGTGCGTGCGTGCGCGTGTGTGCGTGCGCGTGTGTGCGTGTGTGTGTGTGCGCGCGTGTGTGCGTGTCTTTATCCTGTGCTCAGGTGCTACAAGCTTCTAATTCCTTCATGTGTTCTTCTGCTTATACTCCGTCTCTTTTAGACGGAGTCTTTGCTTCTAATCCACAAACTTGACCTTCATTGCTTTACTTTCATGTGAATCTTTAAATATAACCCAATTCAAGTTTTTGTTCAATTCCTAAAACATTTTCTTCACTTTGCCTTTTCTACTGCTGACATCCTGATCGCTGAATCAGCAATAAAGCAGTCTGGTGTTTACGGGCATGTGGATTTGTTAACTTGTGTGCAGTATTTTAATGGCAGTGTTTTAAAAATGGCAAACAAGTGACTATGTCAGATTTCTGTGTCTTACTCAGAGAACCGTGTGCAGTGTTTTGCAAAAAGTTGAATTGCAAATTGGCTGCAGAGCTGAAAATGTGTCTGAGGTTTTGCTCGTTGAGTTTAAATAATTGTGCTTTTTGTGACATTTTAGTTTGTTAGCAACCAAAACAAACTGTAACACCCCCACTATCGTCTCATTCATTGATGTTTCTGTTTCCTCCTCCTCACAGTGTCGGATTTTTAATAATAGTATATCTTTTTTTAGAAATTGTTATATTTTCAAGCCTTTTTCAAGATAAGATCTTTAAAGACAATAAAAAACAAGAAATGGGACTTATATAGACATGATAGGGAATACATAAATAAATAATAAATGAAATTGCACGATTCCCCTCATATTGCACGGAAGACATGATAACTTAAATATGAGCAGCGTTAAGTGCACATATGGCCCTATTAGCCCATGCTCTTGGCTTCCAATCCACAAACTTAAACAATAAAAACCCTACAATCTTCTAATTCCTCCATGTATTGTTCTGTTTCTTCCAGAAGGCCTTAAATGCAGTCTTTTTGGTTTCTAACCCACAAACGTTACCTTCATCGCACTGCTTTCATTTCATGTCAATCTTTAAATATAACCCAAATAACACCCCCACTATCGTGTTATCAATTAATGTTTGTTCCACGAAAGGCCCAGGTGCCCATTGTCTTTGGTTTCTAATCCACAAACGTTACTACTTTAATTTCATGTCAATCTTTAAATATAGCCCATTAAGTCCCCTACTATCCTCTCATATATTAACTGTTCTTTCTCCTTCCTCCCCAGTTTGCTCCCAGTACTCCCGCGGTGTCTTCGCCATCTTCGGCCTGTATGATAAGCGCTCGGTCCACACGTTGACGTCGTTCTGCAGCGCCCTGCACATCTCCCTCATCACGCCCAGCTTCCCCACAGAGGGCGAGAGTCAGTTCACGCTGCAGCTGAGACCCTCGATCCGCGGGGCGCTGCTGTCGCTGCTCGACCACTACGACTGGAACAAGTTCGTCTTCCTGTACGACACCGACCGGGGTGAGTGGACGAGAGAGAGTTTTCATCTAGAAGTGTATTTAAACAGTCAGGGTGGGGAAGTGACAACCACTTAAAAAGTACTGATTATATGTTTATCTGCAAAAATGTAGGGCAGAAACACACGTGTGTGAAATCTGACTCTTGTTACAGAATGTCCTGACAACACGAGAATGACAAAAAAAACATACAAAATACACCGAATACATAAACGTTTATTTATGAGTCAGCATCTTAGCAATTTCTGTTACCTTGTTTGTAAGTCAATGCTTTTTGGTTAGAAGCCTCGAATAAGGGTTTGTTTACTTCCTGTTGAAGGAGTTTTGAAGTCTGAAAGTGAAGTCATGTGACCGTGTTCTAGTTCTTTTATAGCCCAACATTAGCCTCCTTTAGCTTAGCGGTGGTGACGTGAAGTCATGTGACCGTGCTGTAGTTCCTTTATAGCCCAACATTAGCCGCCTTTAGCTTAGCGGTGGTGACGTGAAGTCATGTGACCGTGCTGTAGTTCCTTTATAGCCCAACATTAGCCTCCTTTAGCTTAGCGGTGGTGACGTGAAGTCATGTGACCGTGCTGTAGTTCCTTTATAGCCCAACATTAGCCTCCTTTAGTTTAGCAGTGGTGACGTGAAGTCATGTGACCGTGCTGTAGTTCCTTTATAGCCCAACATTAGCCTCCTTTAGCTTAGCGGTGGTGACGTGAAGTCATGTGACCGTGCTGTAGTTCCTTTATAGCCCAACATTAGCCTCCTTTAGTTTAGCAGTGGTGACGTGAAGTCATGTGACCGTGCTGTAGTTCCTTTATAGCCCAACATTAGCCTCCTTTAGTTTAGCAGTGGTGACGTGAAGTCATGTAACCGTGCTCTAGTTCCTTTATAGCCCACATTAGCCTCCTTTAGCTTAGCGGTGGTGACGTGAAGTCATGTGACCGTGCTGTAGTTCCTTTATAGCCCAACATTAGCCTCCTTTAGCTTAGCGGTGGTGACGTGAAGTCATGTGACCGTGCTGTAGTTCCTTTATAGCCCAACATTAGCCTCCTTTAGTTTAGCAGTGGTGACGTGAAGTCATGTGACCGTGCTGTAGTTCCTTTATAGCCCAACATTAGCCTCCTTTAGCTTAGCGGTGGTGACGTGAAGTCATGTGACCGTGCTGTAGTTCCTTTATAGCCCAACATTAGCCACCTTTAGCTTAGCGGTGGTGACGTGAAGTCATGTGACCGTGCTGTAGTTCCTTTATAGCCCAACATTAGCCACCTTTAGCTTAGCGGTGGTGACGTGAAGTCATGTGACCGTGCTGTAGTTCCTTTATAGCCCAACATTAGCCTCCTTTAGCTTAGCGGTGGTGACGGGAAGTCATGTGACCGTGCTGTAGTTCCTTTATAGCCCAACATTAGCCTCCTTTAGCTTAGCGGTGGTGACGTGAAGTCATGTGACCGTGCTGTAGTTCCTTTATAGCCCAACATTAGCCGCCTTTAGCTTAGCGGTGGTGACGTGAAGTCATGTGACCGTGCTGTAGTTCCTTTATAGCCCAACATTAGCCTCCTTTAGTTTATTGAACACTCAATTAAACCAAACATTAACCAGAGATAAAATGCTTAAATATCCATTTCATTATTCAGGTTTGAGAACTGCTGCGTTATTCATTCTAATAAATCTAATTTGAAGGGATTAAAAAATTTCTCTCAAACATTACACTACCTTAAACATATTTAACTCAAAGTGATTCGATTTGAATGCAATAAAAGTGTGTGTGATGTCTCCACGGCGAACACAGAGCTGTGAATGGATGCTGAAATAATGGACATGTCTTTGGGTCACAAAATGATCAATAGTTCCTGCACTGCTGTTGGAGGTGTTGTGGAGGGTGTTGTTGTTGGACGTCTCTCTCTGAGGACAGCATATTCCTCTCATCCATATGTTTTTTTATTTCTTATTTTTCCACCCCCTCCCAGAGTCAATATTTGTAGTTACTCAACCCACTCCTCAAATTCAAAGGCTTTATTGTCGTATACACAGTAGTTACAGTGTAGATATGGCAATGTAAATCTAAGGTCCCAGGCTCCTCCAATGCAACATAATATATAATAATATTTAAAACGGACATTTCACTCCTTCTTACTCATTTACGATGTATTTACTATTTAATTCATCTGCATGTAACTATACAGTATATGCCTAAACCATGCACCTTATAGAAAGATATTTATACATTATTTACATTACTACAGCATTGTTCTGTTATGTGAGTTTATTTAAACCTTGTGCTCTTGCTGGTTGAATGCAAACTGTATTTCGTTGTCCTCTGTGCAATGACAATAGTTCTTGAATCTAGTCTAATCTAATAAGACATAAACCATTTTTTGTATTTCTTCCATTAATTGGTATTATGTCACTTAAAGGTCCCATGTCGTGCTTTTCCGGTTCTGACCCATCTCCTTGTTGTTATGAAGGTTTTTCTGCATGTGAACGGTCTGCAGAGTCACAAACCCTCAAAGTACACCCTGTAGCGAGTAAAACTCTAACACAGAGAAGACCTGTCTGTGCTGCCCCAGAACGCCTCGCTGGACATTTCTCTTTTTCTTCCTGGGTACAGTGACCATACCCAAATGGAATCCGTGGAGCTCCTCACACACACACACTCTCTCAGCGGCGAAACTGTGGCGCGCTTACACTGTAGGTTTGCGCGTTTGGGGGTGCGGGTGCCAGTGGAGCCTCACAGATGGGGGTGCTGCAGCCCCTCAGCACCCCCCCTTCCCACGTCCATGGTGCTCAGGCTGAGTTCAGGCTGTGTCTCGCTGTCTCGCAGACTCCACGCAGCAACCAGGAAACCACACCAGTAATCCAGCTCACACTGTCCGCTCCTCACAGCAGCGAGCCTCGCAACGTCCCCCCAACACGGCACCCAGACCCCACGCAGCATTCTCATCTGTCTGTCCTTACTGGTGTCATTTCCTGGTTGCTAACAAACGCCATTGTAAAACATAAACACTGATGTTCCGCTGTAACGGTGGTGGACTCATCAGAGCAGAGTGGGCGAGCTGACCAATCAGAGCACAGTGGGCTCATAGGGGGGGGGGGGGCAGGAGCTCCAACAAGCCGTGTAGGACAGAGAGTGAATACACGCACTATACAGAGATGCTGTGAGAAACCAATGTGAGTTTGGAACATTGAACAATGTAAATCTATTCTAGTAGACCTCAACAATGGAATCATGATCAGTAGAAATGGCCGTGACATGAGACCTTTAAGTATTTGTTGGCGTCATGTTGAAATCTTGAATGTAAGTAAATGATACCCCTCCCCTACTCATCCTGTAAAAATCAAAGTATACAAAAAAAAGATACCAGAAAAATCTACTTAAGTACAGTAATGAAGTATGTATACCTCACCTCTGAATACAATAAGCTAAATGCTGCAGAGAATGCATGCGTCTCTAAAGTCTCTCCTCCTCCCCAGTGTCACATTTCCAGGACATTAAAAAACCCCATCGGTGTTTGTACGACAATAACAATTTGGACTGTACATTTCACAGTTATATCCAATTCGATAGGCCATTCTTAATCTTGCACACTAAAAGTAAAACATATCCCCCGTTTACTTAGTGTTAGCAGTCATTGAGCCCTTCAATAGTGTTTTATATGTCAGATACTGTAGTTTATATCTTCTGTTAAACTTCCACAGTTGTATCTGCTATTTTGAGATGTTTATATTGTGTATTTTAAATGTTCTACTGTTTTTTTGTTTCTAATTATGAGCAAAACTTGTTTTTCATTCTGCTGCAACGAAACAAAATCCCAATTTGGCATTAAATGAATCATTAGGAGTGAAATGTCCATTTATACTGTAAATGATATATATTATGTTGCATTGTTGGAGGAGCCTGGGATTTAAGATTTGAATCACATTTCCATTTCAACACTTGGATCTCGCTTTCATACATTTTGCAGAAGCGAGTCAGAGGTGGGGGGGTTCTGTTTCTCTGCAGTGAGAACGGGTCCGGGCCCGTATCAAGATGGCTTCCCTCAGAACGACTCATTCCCCGTCCTCTCTTTTCTCTTTTCTCCACTCCCACGCTTCACTGGGTAAAAAACCTCTCAACTCCTCTCAACAAAACCCGCTTGTATCTGATCAAATGTTCTGCAGAAACACAACAAAGGTTAGCTGTAAGACCGTGCTGCCCTACAAGAGGCATATCAGTGTGTAGTGTCTCTACTTTAAAGAGTCCTCTCCTGCTGATGTTCAGGTGTATATCAGTATTAGTGTCTCTACTTTAAAGAGTCCTCTCCTGCTGATGTTCAGGTGTATATCAGTATGTAGTGTCTCTACTTTAAAGAGTCCTCTCCAGCTGATGTTCAGGTGTATATCAGTATGTAGTAGGGGTGTAACGGTTCACAAACATTTCGGTTCGGTACGTACCTCGGTTTTTTGGTCACGGTTCGGTTCGGTACGTTTTCGGTACAGCAGAATTTTTTTTCACAAAATAAAACATATATATATATATATTTTTTTTATTATTATTAAACTGTGAATAATGTATTCACTCAAATAAATACAAAATATAATAAAATAAACATTAAGGTTTCATTTCGATGAACTGAAATAATCTGTATTTGAACTTTAATGTAGGCTACTAGTACTCACAAAACATAAACTATTAGTTTTGGGTTTTTTATTTGTTATTAAACTGTGAATCTTCACTAAAAAAAAAATTAAATAAAATAAACATTAAGGTGCAGCTTTTCGATTCACTGAAATAATCTGTATTTGAACTGTACTGTACCTGAGCAGCCAGGTTGACATTAGGACTTGCTTGTCATTGTATTTTCATGTTTTTTTAAAGAAAGATGAACTTGTCCACATTGCTTGCCGAAAGGGCAGATCTGCTGGCACTAACAATGTCTCCTGCTGTGGAGAACACCCTCTCTAGGGACAGAGGCAGCAGATACAGCCAGGTAGCGCTTTGCTAACATGGCAACATAAGGATATTTGGTGTTTGTAACAGCTTTG